GTATTAGATAAATTTCAGTAAGTGTGTTCAATACTTTTTTCCGTATGTATGGATCACTTGGGTTGTTACCGACATCTGGTGAAAATTTCATGTCATTAGCACCTCTAGTAAAATATTTACTGAGAAAAATGTTGACATGTTCAATACTTATTTTACCCGCTGTATTTTGTTGTAGATACTAACAGTTGGCCTTTTTCCAAAACAAAAAAAAGGGAAAAAGAAAAGCTCTCTTCTCTCTGGCAGGTAATGTCAAACTTTATCAGACTTCAAGATAACAAAAGCTTGCCATCAGCAGAATAAATGTTGTCCAACTAGATGACGTTTTAGTGCCATGGAAAAGGGATATATGAAATCAGGAGGAGTAAATATCTGCTTTACGACAGCCGTGTCACAAAAAAATAGGGAGATCAACAATTTTTAATAAAATAAAATAATATACAACATATAAAATAATGTAATACCAAAAGTTTCGAATTGTTTCCTTTTAAACATCATCTCTATGTGAATTTAGCTAATATTACAGCCAAAAAAAAAAGTGTATACATCTATTTGGTTTCATCAAATAAAAATTTGATGGTTTTCCAAAAATGAGGTCAGGACCCCTCTGTAGGTCATGAAACATTAGTGAGGGTCCCCAGATGACTTTCAGGCATGAGTTTAAATGTGAATGAACGACTAATGAAATATTTTCACCATAATTATTGCAGAAAAACAATATTCATAAATGAAAAAAGTAACATAATTGTTATTAAGTTCATTTATACTGCTATTATGTGCATGTTTAACAGAGTTATTGCAATGTTTGCATACAGAAATCAAGGCCCTGTCACACTGTAACATTTTAGGCAACTTAAGCCAACTTATTAATTTTATTTTATTTCTAAATTACTAATAAGTTATTTATTTGATCAATTTGTTAGCATTACAGTCTGTACTTGTCCAAAAGAGGTTTCCAGTTGATTTTTTAAGTTCCACCTTCAATGTAGAGGTCTTGAAAATGTTCATAAGTTGTGTAAAACAATATAATGTGACGACCTTCAGTAATATCTGAGGTCACAAATTTCTGCAACTGTTATTTTGTGGGTCGGAAGCTAAAAAGTTTGATAATCACTGATCTGATTACATCATTTATAAAGGGTTATGTGGAGTTGGGTTGGGCAATATTAGCTTAAAAATGATGACGATTAATATGGAGGACCAAACCTATCATTATTGGAAATAAATGTATAAATATATAACTGGCGTATTAAAATAAATTATAGGGTCAAAAAGAAGTTTGACAAATAAATTATTGTG